GGAACCAATCGCCCAACAAATATGCAGGAGGAAGTGGAGATGGATTGGACACTCGCTGAGGAGGCCGTTGAGTGACATCGCGCGTCAGGCCATAGCTCGAGTGGAACCCGAAAGGGAAGTGGTGAGTGGGACGTCCAAGGGTGACATGGAGGAGATCGTGTGAGGAGGAGATGAAACAGTATGGAATAACATGGACGCAAGTGAAAAGTACAGCAGAAGACAGAAGCAAGTGGAGACGTGCAGTTGAAGCCCTATGTTCCACTAGGAACCCAAGGGAACAATAATAATATAATAGAATCAGTAAGCTGATAGATTTCATCCCAGTGGCTGAATGATCAATGAACAAGTCATGTAACCTGAAGGCCCTAGGTTCGATTCCCAGTAGGGTCATAAGTATGTACCGATGAAGAGTCTCTTATACTAGGACCAAACAACTTTCCAGTACTTCGTGGTTTTCAATTGTACTCTTATTGAAGATAGGTCATGATCAATGTTGAAATTCTACTTTTTTTTCACTGTGACACATGTGCCTGGTAAACGTCTTCTCAAAAAGAGTTAAGAACACATCTTAAGTCACTTTGCATACCAAGTAAAAATCCCCGTGAAATCAGTCAACTTCTTAAAAATCAACTAGCTAAATTTTCCCTTTAGGAAAATAACTTTTATCCCCCCCCCCAAAAAAAACAATCAACTTAATTTTAAGGGTGAAAAATATTACTGCAATTGCCAACAGAAGATTGAGGACGTCACTAGCCACAGAATATCCTACAGCTAAGCTGGTTCCCGTCTATCTAACAACTTGCTCTTTGGTGCAACCAAAAATCGACAGATATCCTTCTCATGTTAACTCGAACTGCTTATACAAATTTACATGTATCTGCGGGAGCAGTTACATTGGAAGAACAGGAAGAAGGGTATATCTACGATTTTCTGAACATGTACCAAAAAGCTTATGTCTAAAGGGAACAAATGCTTTAAACAGTGCCATATCCAGGCATCTCCTTGACACGGGTCATGGGGTGGACGTCGAAAAGTCATTCAAAATTATCAATAGGCAAAGGAGTTCAATTCTCATTAAGTTTGCTGAAGCCATCTCTATCAAGCGCCTTAAACCTGATTTATGCATTTAGAAAGAAGCACTTATCAGTCTTCCTTTGCCCTGGTAACTGGATATTTTCATCTCTCATTCATCTGATTACGCAATGCGGAAAGTTTCCATTGTGTATGATCATTATTGTTCGGAATAGTGTTCAATATTAAATATATACATATATTGATTGATTTTTGTTTAAAAATGAACTCTGTGAAAGTATGTTAAAATTGTTTCTGGAGATATACTTAATAATGACTTATAATGGCATGTAAGCAGCTGATGAGAAGCCAACGAAATAAACAATGATGGTACCATTTTATTCTGCAAAAACTGTTGTTCTTGCTTTATTCAAATTCATTAAGGGGAATAAATGCATGAAATACACAAAAGAGTTGAAATTTTGATTAGGAATTGAAATACTTCATTCATATTGTTAAACTACTTTTAAGCCATAAAAGTTTTAAAATAAATATTATGCCTACAAGATTGACAAAATCTTTATGTAAAAGAAAAAATTTTAAAAAAATTAAAAATATATATGTATAATTTACAGTGTAAAATGGAAACTAAAAATCTTATAGTTTATAACATGCGGGAATTATATAATTTACTGTATAAGAAATCGACTTTATGAAAAATATTCATGCTGTTAGTAAAATATGTATTTCACTGTGCAGTATATGTTTAGAGTATTAATCTTATATCTGTCTATATTGGAGGGTAGAAAAGGGAGTTGTTGAGTGAGTGACTTTAAGATATCTTTACTTTCTCTAAAAAGGGTAGGACAGAGCCATCGTCCACAGGGGGTTAGGCATTTTACTTCCAACCAGTAAGTTGACGATTCGAATACTGATCTATCTATTAAGATTTCGGCAGCTAGGTGGTAATGGCATTAACTGCCAACGGCATAGAAATACAAGCGGTTGTCGAGTTACAAGCATACTAGAGCACGCACAATTAAAAATCAGATAAAAGAACTATTGAAAACGACTTATGTCAAAAGAGCTCCTCGTTACTGAAATTACGAATTGACACTGGATATTTAAAAAAGGAAAATAGACTAATGGATTCTCCTACCTAGTGATGATTACCATTAGAATTAAAGATCATATATTCAACTTCTATTCAGGTTACAAATACACACTAGTGAATAGAACCAAACTAATATCAAAAAGATACCAAGTACTCTTTCGTTTTTAACCAGTCTTTAGATAACATCAATTTGTAACAAAAAACTTAATTACTAGTCACTTTCACGTGGTTTAGTGGATAACGCTTAGACGTTTGAAACAGCGGGTGATGGGTTCGAGTATCAACAGTGGGATACGGGTGGATCCAAATACGACGAGTGCGCCTTCTGCATCCCACTACTGGTCACCATCCACCAAATAATGTCATGTTAATCTACAGATATCATCGAAGCGTCCATGATAGGCGCCGAAACATGTCAAAAAAGGCCGAATACTTCAGTCCAATTAACCGACGGGATAATTAAAATTGACTTAAACAAATATTAGTCTCATTATTTACCAGTTTGAAAGAATAAAGCTAACACTAGTTAGCTTTAGCAAACATAAAATAGTCGCGTACCACAACCCCACTATCTCTTACAAATTTATCTACTAGGCGACAAACTAAATTTAACATATGAAGGGTGATAGTGCTGTCTGTCTGTCTGTTTTCGACATAGAACTTTGCACTGATGTGCGGCAGTCCAAGTCGCCACACTCCATGTAGCACACAAAGCAACAGGAGAAAGTAGGAGAAATGTGTGATATAGATAGTAAACAGAGGTGTGAGACAAAGGAATAGGAATAACGAAGAACAGTTTCATTCGAAATCATAAGTCACAAGGAGTGGATGCATCTGCGCCATTGAGAACGATTTTGAACCATGTCACCAATTGTTTCCAAACATTGGTTTTTACCGTACCGAGGACCCCAACCAGTCAGGAAGTCTACACCTTCCTACGTCACTGGCTGGCTTAAATTAACTGTTGTGGATTTAATTGACTGATGAAGCGATGTTTTGGTTTGACCACCACTGGCTCTTTTCCAACCTGACCCTATGTCAGCTAACATTACCCGTTGGTCGAGGAAGGAGATAACTAGTCATGCATAACACATGTCCTAACCATCTCAGTCGATGTAGCTTCACAGTCTCGTCGATTGATTTCCCCTCCTTACCTAACATTCGACCGAGGCCTAACCTCAATATTGCTCACCCTATGATACCACTTCACATGAGAGATAGAACGCAGACATCTATGATCAAAGACAGCTAATCTTTTCATGTCTTCCACTCTCAATGGCCAGGTCGGTGATAGTGCTACCTGAATAACTATATTACATCAAAGGAAGGCTTACTAATGAGTTAGTGGTTCAATGGTAGATCACACTCACTGACCAACCAAGCAAGTGGTCCGGGATTCAACCTCCAACCGACGCACTCATAAACCGCACTTAGTAGGTGGTAGGTAAGCCCAGTAATGACTGGCGGGGGGTTTGCATGAGACTATTAGCGTTATCTGGCAAAAAAAATAACACTGCTACAGAAACTTCCAAGCTGGAGCTTGAAGCCCTATGTTCCACTGGAAACACAATGGAATAAATAAATAATATGAAATAATACACCAAGGGAAGAATGAGGTCTGAACCTAAAATCCATGGAATTACGACCTGTGGTCTTGACCAGAGGACGAAAATTAATTCTATGAAGAAAGACATTTACAGTTCTGTAGGTTATCAGTTTAGAACACTCTTCTGGTATGAGTATTACACATAAAGAAATCTAGCATCTATACTTTTGGCAGTAGCAAACTTCTAGTGACAGTGGTATATTAGATACTAGAGAAAATATATACATAACACTTACTGATGAATAACACTTTCAGAGATTAAAAGATATACTAATATATTCAATAACAGGTATCATTTAAAGGGACATTAGGAAAGAGCACTGAATAGCTACTTTTACCCACTACGGAGCTCTTTGATAATGCAGAAAAACGAGGAAACCAAGTTGCACAGAGAAAAAATTAACGTCCAGGAAGCTATTCAGGACACAACAGCTCGTGACCATAAACTCTGTCGATTAGGGACATAGTAAAACGCCTATCTATTAGTTGGTAGTGGATATCTTACCCAGTGGTCAACTTGATGGAATGCATTGATCACTACTTCGGGAAATTCATCCGGAAGATAGTAATTCATTCATCAGGAATAAACTGATTTTCGGATATTTTGTAACGTTTAGATAATAATGTTTTAAGTGTTGGTTTGTAGGGATTTGATTGGTTGCAGGATTTTCATCATGAGCTGACATTAGGTAGAGAACCATTGAAAAACCTAGGAGTATTGGACAGATGTTTCGTCCTAGTTTGGGACTCTTCATCAGTACGCACCCACCGCCAGGGTTCGAACCCAGGACCTTCTGGTTACAAGGCGAGCTCGTATACCATTAAGCCACTGGGACCCGATCCAATGGCCAGTCCATGAATTCTAACTTCTGCCAATTCACGACATAGCGCGACCCCTAGCCAATGCCTTCGGCGAGTATTTGTTTGAACTGGTATAGTTTTTCGTTGTCTGGTAATCAATTCATGTACATAATCTCGTCGTACAAAAAATCTCTTATAACTTAAACAGATTATTGTAACACGTCTTCGACTTCAGGACTTAATGAGGCCGATTTGAATCCTCAATGGAACATGAACTTCCTGGACTTTGAAGATATCTCCTAAAATTGAGCGTAAATAAGATTAACACTTATACGATTTGGGTGTTTCAGTAGGATAACTTCTAACATACAACAACACGATCCTTTATCGCGAAGCATTGAAAAAGATAGAAGCTTTGTGTAAGTGGTTCAATTAAAAATAGCAATAATAATAACACAGTTGACTTACCGTGACAACTCCTTGTTGGAATGCAGATTGAGCAAGTATACCGGGACCTTCATATAATTTCCCTGAGTCTTCAGGTCCCCAGCTACCTGAGTAAATGTCAATGTAATCTTGTCGAAAATGAAGTGTTTCAGCCTCAACCCTGTCAGTAATATATCCATCTAACATGCGTATACCTGTTTTTTTGGGGGGGGGATTGTAAATTGGGGAAAAAAGAACCAGATAGATGCTTTAGATATATGGAAAAATCAACAACAACAACAAAACATTAGGCAAGAAGAAAATTACGAGTTTGTGGACCAGAATAAAGAAATGTTAAACATTTCATAAACGGAACAAAGCAAAAATAACACAAAGGGGAATAGGAATAAAATAATATTTATACAAGAAAGGGGATTACTGATTCCTATTATTGCATCGAAATTAAAACTAAACATATCCACTTTTTTTGTTTTAAATTCCTTTGTGTTCGCAGTGGAACATCGTGTTTCAAACTTGAACGCTTTGAAGATGTTGTTTTTCTTTAACCCACAAACTTCCATCTTTCCCAGGCTTATTTATTACCTACTCACTAGCGAACAAGATGAACTAGACGAAGTTACCTGGGGTTCTAGTGCGAAGTCGTAACCAGCAGGGTCCACCTAGTCAGGCGAGAGGGCAGTTACTCGCCTGTAGCACTGGTTGGCGGTTGCGTTAAATATGTATCACGAATCAGTAGAAGTTGCAGTTCATAGACCATTGGGTCGGGTTCCAGTGGCTTTATGGTCTGCGAGGTCGTCTCGAAACCGAGAGGTCTTGGGTTCGAACCCCAGTGGGCGTGCGGGGCTGAAGAGTCCCAAGTTAGGATGAAACAAATGGTTCTCTAACTGGTGTTAGCTTATGATGAAGTCTAGATTAAAGTACTCGGAGAAAACCTATTATTTATAAGTCTAAGTAAGGACTGTTAATACTACCTAATTAATCGGACTGAAGTAGGTAGCGTGGGACTTGAATCAGTGACCTGTTGGCTGCAAACCAGGCTCTTAAGCCATTCAGCTACATTTCAACTATTCAGTATGCTTGTAGAGTACAATGCCTTATTTTGATACAGTACGCAAACATAAAGTGCCACAAAGAATGACATTCCATGTTAGGATACTCACGTAACTTTCTGATTTTGTTTATATAATTCTGTTATTCCTTATGTTTGGATTTTAATGGTAATAATACTTTCTATTTATATATCTCCGGTATCGCTAATGCATAAATTTTATTGCATACACGAATTGATGACTTAAGGAACAAAGATTCAATGATTACAACCTTTTTCTTCACCTAATTATTATAGTATTAATCATAAGAACATTGTAGATCTGTCTTACTTTATTCTCTGATTTTACTAGCATTGTATGCATTGTAACAGTCATATTGTTTTTCTTTCCCTTGACTACTGAATTTTAACGTGTCTACAAGCTGTCTACAAGTAACGAATTTCTTGTGATCTGACAGCTTAACTGCTTTTGATCAACTAGTTATAAATTAGTTAATGAGTAAGGAATCCACAAACTGATTGGATTATTTATTCTACAGCCCTTTTTCTTTTCTTTTTCTTTATAATCAGTACTGAATATTAGGGCGAGTAACACGCGTGCTTCACTCAGCTTACTTGAGATACAGTTAAACAGATTTATAGAAGTAGTTGGCTTTGATTACATCATTCAACGTGTATAACTAGTCTTAGTAGTTATTAGTCAATGAATTGATAGCTGAACTATTCAGGAATAAGTGAATAGTTGTATCTTCCTCGAAATACTTGTGCCTTCAGTGTGCGTGAATAGCATAGGCAGATTTTGTTCAGAGACTGTATCCATGTTATATACATATATGCCCCAAATGAAGCACGAGATTATTCCCGACTTGCTACCAGAGAAAAATCTCGTTGACTTAGAATATGAAGACGATATAGTCCTTCTAGGCGAGGACGCTGACAAAATAGAGCAGAGTCTTCTGAACACCTTGAGCTTCAATCTACGAATGTTCGGCATGCAATTCGCTACCCCTGTCAAATGTAAGATGATGTTACAGGACTGGACTACGTTGACTCCTAGTTTAGAAATACGAAGTGAAGTGGTAGAGCATGCTGACCTAGCCGACTTTTAATGTGGTTAAAAATGGATAAATACGATGTATTTTCACGTAATAAAAAAGTCCGCCCCCAATTCTCTTATCTTCTGACGTTACCTATGGCCTCTGAATAACCGATCACCTGAATTGGTTTTGACACTTGGTGATTAGTTTAGGTAACTGTAGGTCATTCATTTTGTTGTATTACATCAGTATTTATTCGAAAGGTGTATTATTAACCAGTAAAACGCTTCCCACCCAGACCACACATGTGATCTGGGTTCGATTCCCTTGCCGACTCAATTCTAATCCTCTCCCAGTTTACTTGTCGATGGTAAACACAGAGAAGAGGATTAAAAAAACAGCATAAACACAGTGCACCAATCAAAACCTAATGTCTGGACCCTCCTATGTTCCACTCGAAACTCCAAGGAATGAGAATAAAAATTAAAAATTGGCTAATTTCTAATAAGAAGAAAATGACCGGCAGTGTTGATAAAATTGTGTTTGGTAGCTGTCATCAACTGGTGACACTGTATGATATTCACGGCATATTTACAAAACACCAGAAATCATTATACATTAAGCCAACTAAACTATTCAAGTATTGGTTTGTAGGAATTTGATTGATTGGTTACAGGATTTCATCATAAGCTGACATCGGTTAGAGAACCATTGGAAAACCTGCAGGGAGTACTGGACAGCTGTTTCGTCCTAGTTTGGGTCCTGAGTTTGAACCCCGATGGGTGCGTACTGTTGACGAGTCCCAAATCAGGATGAAACAGCTTGTTTTCCAATGGTTCTCTAACCGATGTCAGCTCATAATGAAATCCTGTAACCAACTAAACTATGTTTACCGGTCGGATGGCTGACAGCTTGCTTGGTTGTGATACCTAGACGTTGGTTACATGCCAATAACCAATCAGCGTATTCTTTACAGTCCCATAGGGAGATCAATCGAGTAGGAATCTCACAGGGTACATCGAGCCCTTCAAGGTTGGTTGGTACGCCTTTTTGACCTGTGCTAAGAAACACGATTGCCTCTAACATGAATTCAGTAATTCCTTATCTACCTAAGGATTCTAAACGAGGCCGGAGAGCTCCTCAGCAGGAAAGTATCTACCTTTATAGGCATTAATATTTTCTGTGAATAAAATTCACATGATAATTGACAATCCACAATTGCTAAACGTGAAAGATTATTGTTATTATTACTATAGTTTTTTTTCAAATGAATCATTTAAACATTTAAATAATTTTCATTTGAATACAATTGGAATGTTTTTTTGTTTGTTTGTTTTTCGCATGAAGACTAAATTTCTTTTGTGAAAAAATTTGAAAAGAAATTTTTTTTTCGTTTTACTAGGTGATGACTAATTCAGTGTAGTTTTGTTTTTTAAATTCATGCATTCCTACATGGCTTTCTCCAGAATATTTTATGGTGTATCTGCCTGTATACTGTCTGTCTGTCTGTCTGTCTATGTGTATTTGCGTATGCGTGTGCGTGTGTGTGTACTAGTACACTAAATGAGTTCATCATTGATTATTAGTCACTTCGCTTTAGGCTATAGGTTAACTCCTGGCAGAAAAATAAATTCTCTTTGTTGAGAGACTGAGACAGCTTTAGATTATTGGTAGACTGTTGTCAAACTAATTGGGTGAAAGAGAACTCAGGCTGTGGAGGGATTCGGACTAAACAGTCTCACGATTATACGGCTAGAGATTACTGGGTGTAATCCTGCTACGGCTACATATTTCTTTTCACATTCAGTCATCAAGAATTCAATAAACAGATTTTTGAGGAATGTAACATGAAAATTAGGTTACTTCCTCCTCCATAACGCTCCTGAAATCCAAACATTTGAATATTTCAACTGGCGAACAGGTGTGACCTAGTGCGTCAGTGGTGGTTCAATGGTCGAATGCTCACACATGGCCCAAGGTTCGACTCCCGCCAAGCCAATAGTATGCCAGGATGGTCGGGGGTGGGTGCCTTGCGTTGCGGGTTGGCCACCCCTCCGCACACCAATCGAAATGCTCCCATATGACCGGCGTCTTGCATAGCCTCTCCTGAGGAAGTCCTACTCACTGCCTTCACGTGGCGGAGGTGTTCTTCACCAAAGTGAGAGGGCGAAAACGGATGCCCGGCGCTCTCCACCGGGTTGACTGTCCATTGGATGACAGTCTAGGGGAGATGGCTAAACCCTGATTCCAAACCTCCAGCGACTGGCGTATGAAACTCACTGGAGCTCACCGGCAGACGTATGGACAAAGGGCTTGTTGGATGTCTGGCCCCATTCAAAAAGGCGTATGAACCGAACTCCGGTCACCGGCTGCCAATGGATAGTGGACTCCCTACTCCACTCCTACTGCCTTGTAGGTCACACTTGGTTGTGTGAAGGCTAGAGCTGCACTCTCAAGCAAAAGGCCAAGCGATTTGGGGGATATCACTCGTACCAAATTCCCATGAAACTTCATGAACTCTCTTACAAACGATGTCGCAGGGGTGGACAGCTGAAAACATGGCTTGGTACAGTCAAGGCTGATGTGGAGTGCCTGGGGCTACAAACCGTCTACGGACTCCGTCTGTGGAACAAGAATTGGATAACCCTGTGGCAAAACCTTGCATCAGATCGCAGCGCCTGGGCAGCTATGATTCGAGATGTTCATGAAGCCGGCTCATCCTCCCGTAGGAGATAGCCGAAGTAAAGTAAGTAAGTAATGTGGGATAACTGAGGATGTGGCTACAGACACCACGGTTACTGAAACTTCAAGGTTCAAGCTGGAAGCCCTATGCCCCACTCTGAACGCAAAGGAACGAAAAAATGATATTCGAGTGTTGCTTTGCAGGGATTTGATTAGTTTCAGGATTTCATCATTAAATGACATCGGTTACAGGACCATTACAAAACCACGGATTAATGGACAGCTGTTTCGTCCTAGTTTGGGAGTCTTCACCAGTACGCATCCACCGAATTCTGAACCCAGGAACTGGCCACAAGGCGAGCTCGTTGGAATTCATGGACCATTGGATTGGGTCCTAGTGGCTGAATGGTCTACGAGCTCGCCTTGT